GAGAGAGAGAGAGAGAGAGAGAGAGAGAGAGAGGGTACTTCAATCGATAGGATGAGCAAAATCGAATAAATCTACCGCTAGAACATAGAAATATGCACTTTTTTCTTTTTGTGTTCGTGTGTGCGAAAACTTAGCAACTGCCGGGGCATTTTGCAAAGTTGCGCAGCGTCCGGTAGGGGTGCATTGCAAAGCTGCGATCCAACTGATGGCTGGGGTGGTTTGCAAAATGTTTTGTCATTGTCCTTCGCTGCGGCAGGTCCACTTGTTCTGTTAGTTGGAGAAGCGAAGTATGACCTTGTCATTTGTGAGTTTTTTTTGCATTGGGTGAAGGACAATGGGTACCCTTTAATAATAGTTATTAGTTAGTGATGGAGATGTTAGGCTTACGGCTGAACAGTGGCAGTAGTTTATGAAAACTTACGGTTCACAGTTGACCATGTCGTCAGGTAGGCACCCAGAAACAAATGTTCAGATTGAGCAAGTAAAGGAACTGTTATGTAATAACCCTGTTCAGAAGTAGCCTGGGGATCAGAACTCAGCCCCAGGCAAAGCAGACCTGAGTTGGTCTGCGCTGGGCTGTGTGACCAAGACACGCCCAGGCCTGAGCCTGCCACGAATGGCTGTGTGACCGAACGCTACACACAGGAAATTCAAAGGTCAAAGTCAACTGTAGAGTCAAAGGTACCACACCCAGGCCCTTGGTTGGATACACTCACTTGTTGTGCGCATGTACCCAGACAGCATCCAGGCCGGAGGGAATTCAGTTTCAGACCAATCTGGGCCCTCGTTTGCATTGAGATCTGGACGGTTGAGGGATGCAGCATGCGGGGTCCAGACCCGGCGTCAACGCTACATAAGCGCTGACTTCCTGGCTTTGACATTCATTCTGTCTTGCGTTGATGCTGACCTCACGCATTGACTTCAACGCTGGCTCGTCGCTGCGACGCTGGCTCGACGCTGCGACGCTGGCATTGTAATTCGGCGAAGCGCTGCTGGTCCGGCATGGTGGCTGGCTTGCTCCTGTCTTTTTGGCATGCTGACGTGGCAGCTGCCATACGCTGTCGCTGATGTGGCTGCTGCCACGTGTATCATTGGCTGACGTGGCTGCTGCCACGTGTTCTATTGCTGGGACTACGTGATCGGCATTGCTGTTCTGTTGCATCATCACTTCAGGAGGAGATCAGGACTGTGGAGAGTCGTGGATAAGTACCTGGCTGTCTTCATGTTGACATTGCTCCAGAGCTGATGTGGGACTGATTAGACGTGCCACGTGGCACATTGAGGCTACTTTGGATACTTGTTCAGACTATTGATTATCGAGGTGGTAGTAGAGGAAGGAGCCCGAAGCAGGAGTGGTCATTGTACTTTCCTCTCCTTTGTCTCATCTCCCTCCTCTCTCTTCGTCTGTGTATGATTACCTCATCTCATTCTGTCTGGTTACGATTTTGACTATTAGTAATCATCAGCCGATGGACATTTATCTGGGCTTGCATTGTGGACGACTGTCTTCACGATCTGGGTTCATTACAGTTATAGTACAGTTGAGTAAACCTTCTTGATGTATATTAGACCCGATCAGATAGATCGGGATGAGAATTTACCAAAGGTAAAAATGCTTACAATAACTCATCTATCTACAGGAAGGACACCAAAGAAGCTATGCAGGGAATGGAAGGCATTCAGACCGATAGGCTGTCTAAAAGCCCAATGCTCTACCAACTAAGCTATACACCCAGAATCCAGATAGGCTTAGCAGGATTTGAATGTACAATATCACCGTTATGAGCGGTGCGTTTGAATGAATCAAACTATAAGCCCAGGAACTTGCTTCAGAAACAACAAAACTAACTCAAGGGTGGTACCTGTAAGGCCAGGATTTCCCGGCCATTTTTTACGGGTACATAATTTCATTAAAACACGAATAGAGTCAAGAGTTCCACCGCTAGGCTCGAAGAAAGAGTCGAGCCTAGACGGTCGTAACAAGTGCTCTCCGAACCGTGCGAGACCCAGATCAGATATAGAGAAACCACTCAGAATGTGAGAGTCTGCACTCATCTACGAGAAAGACCTCAGGAAAGTTGTTGGGAATATTAGACACGCCCAGGAGAAGATGGTAGAACAGGCCACCGAGCACAGGAGGCCGTCGCGGTTTTCCGTCGGGATTTTGTTTGGGTCAAGTCCAAGGAGCTTGTACCGGAGGAAAATATTTTGTAAAAGTGCTACCTGTGTACAGAGGACGGTAGGAAGTATTGCATGCAGTGGGAGATGCTGACGGCCTATGTCATCGACATACCTCCTCACCTACAGACCTATGTGCCTCTAAGTTATGCCATGCGCAGCAGATAGAATGTTTACCTTACACAGGTCAATAATTCCACTCATATGGATTGCAGGTATGACATTGACCATGTAGTCGATCAAGAGACGTACAGATCAAGTAAGACGAGGCAGTACAGGGTTAGATTTCAGTATCAGAAATCAGAAGATAACTGGTGGTTCATGAAATCTAAACCGGATGAGACAGCCCCTAGCAGAGTTTCACAGTATGAGCAAGAGGGAGGGGTATCAGAATCTTAGACGGGGATTAAAAGTCTGCGTTCTTGGAGAATCTCGATTTTAGGCTGGAGGGAAAGGATTTCACGTATATCAGTGTCTGGTCCTGATCCTGGTCCCAAGGTTCCAAGTGCTGTGTACTGAAGGGTTGCCGACTGACGTTAATAGGTCGACTCTAGGCCCATACATCCGGTAGGCTATAGAGGTCAGTCTGTACAGTTGGTACAGTCCAGTCCAAGTCTCAAGCAAATCGGGGAACGTTCCAGATGCGTGTATAAGACTTCCATTTTTGATCCATGTTTGGAATTCTCATATCTTGTGTTTGGCTCCCCACTTTCGTGTGATGAAGTGTGCAATTTGTCTGCTGTGAGATGCTGTTGAATTGTGGGCTAATGCAAGTTTCTCCTCTCAATGCTGTGATTGTGATGCCTTTATTTGAATTTAGCAATAACATTCAAGATGGCTAAGCATTATGAGAAGGCAATCGAGGCGTTTGAAAAGGCGGCTACAGGACAAGAACGGATGGGAGCGTATCCTTCTTTCTTATTTGTCTTCGTTTTGAAGTGTCTTGTTTCTTGAACCCTATGGTCGTGCCCATTTCATAATACAAAACTCAAGGATGAGACGATGGCCTTCATTGCAACTCTGATGGTAGAAAGAATGAGTCCAGCAAAGGACATGAATGGAGGAAAGAAGAAGAAGAAGAAGAAGAAGAAGAAGAAGAAGAAGAAGAAGAATACAAGTTGATAGTAGTGTCTTTCCCTCATCTCGACACTATCATCTCTCCCTTGTCATCATCTCCAGGACATTAATAAAAACTAATTGACCACAACAATTAATCAATGAACCAGAGTCGTTGTCGGATTGATCCCCCTCATTGCTCACCTTTAGCTCACTTCCCCTCTCTTCCCGTCTGGTATGGCTACTGGCTATGGTGGGATACTGAAGCTACCTCGTGTGTTCAAGGGGCAATGCAACTACTCTCATGTCCTCCCCTCTCATCTACCGCTATCCTGTGAATGAAGTTCATTTCGAACAAGTACCCCTTGAGGGGCTTCTTTTTTTTTTATTTTTTTTTATTTTTCTTTCTTTCCAAGATGGGCGTTCTTGATGGAGTGCCAACAGGGAAGATGAAGATGTAAGTCCACCATAGCCAAAGGCGAGTCTCCTTCCCGGTTCCTGCCCCCTTCCTCCTCCTCCGACCACAGCCCAGCTAGGGGTGCTCACTCTGCCACCATGGCCTAGGGTGTCTCCTACCTCTCACCACTGCTCCTGGAGAGCAGTGGTATTCTCCTTCACCCTCCAGCTCCACCGTCAACTCCAGGAGCTCAGCCGCCCTCTCCCTCGGGTTGGTGCAGCAGCATCACCCCGGATGAATAAGCGGCATATTCATTGCCCCAAATGATATACCTTTGCCTGCCCAGCCCCCAGTACCCCTTGGCCGGACCACCTGACCTCCCTTGGGTGCACTAGGCCTACCGGCTGTTCCTGCTTTTGGCAGGAACATCATTGTAGTCTGATACCTAGCTACACTCCCTGAACCTAGACTTCTGTTGGCCTACATTCAGGCCCTGGACCAATAGTACCTACCGGCAGCTACCGGACCCTCCCAGGGCCGACCGGCCTCTAGCAAGCCCCTGGTCGCCACACCAGTACCCCCAATATGTCCCTACAGTACCCCCAATATGTCCCTACACTACCCCCAATATGTCCCTACAGTTAACTTCCCATCCTGTCCCTGGCCGTACTGTTATTACTACTTTGTCCCTGTCAAAGTCAGAGCCTCACAACACGGCCATTAGAGTTAGCGCCCAGACCCAGACTTGGACTCTGGCAAGCACACAACGCATGTTAATGACAGATCACATACGTACTTAAACAACACAGCAAATCACAGCACACCGGACTCAGAATCAGAATGCAGCGTTTTCAGACTGCAACAGAGCTGGTTATTGCAACCCTGTATAACCTTTGAAAGTTGAAAATTGATGTGTTCTTTGCAATTCTGGCGAGCGGGAGACTGTGAAGTGAAAAAGGCATAGAACTCATGCTTGCTTGCTTGCTTGTTCATTGTCGGATGCCGTTTTCTTTAGTACGAGGCTACATAGGCTGTTGCAGATGATAGAACTGTGGAAGGAAAAAGGCATAGAACTCATGCTTGCTTGCTTGCTTGTTCATTGTCGGATTCCATTTTCTTTAGTAAGAGGCTACATAGGCTGTTGCAGATGATAGAACTGTGGAAGGATGGGATCCTTCGGGGGATGTTTCAACTACAAGGCCAGACACCACTGGTGCTACGTTTATTATCTTACCATTCTTAACTCCAGGTTCGTAATTTCTTGCCATCTCAACATATCACCAGCGGTTCCTGATCCTAACTGTGCCAGGGCACATAGAATCACAGCTTGTGGGCCAGTTTTCTACAGCGGGGTGCAATGACTTGCTGGTTCCAGGTTGCCTGTAGCCTCTCTCAGACGAGGCTGTACCATAGGTAGGGACAGATTCATAATTTTGTTTGGCTGAGGGCTTACCGAGAGACCTACCTGTAAGGAAAATTCGTGAGGGACACATTTGTAATATAGGAAATATGGGCCCAGTACTAACTCGAATTTCCTACAGCTACCCTAACTGCGAATAGCAGACCCGGGCTACCCCTAGGACAGACAGGCCCTACGGGTCTACGCTGATAGACGGTCCTTTTCCGGGTAGGGAGAGGCCCTAGAGGCCGAAACAGAACCGGTACCGGTCGGTCAGTCAGTCCGGTCTAGGTCCGTCTAGGCTAGTAGTAGAGTATAGATAGGATGGGGACATCGGTCCTGGGCTTTTCGCAGTTGACACTTCGTGGTGGAAGTTGCTGCGCACACGGTATCAGGTCGTGGTTGCTGATTCCGGTGGTGGAGACGGCGGACATTGCCAGACCTTCGGAGCACTGACCAGACTGGGGTCAACGCTGTCCGCTCTGACTCTCTGGGAGTCAAAGCGGTCTGGGCTATGAGAGGTCTGATGCGTTGGAGCACGTGGTGCACTGCTGACCCTCCTCAGGAGTAGGGTCCCAGTGGAGATGCAGCCATAGCTGCATCTTCTCAGAGATATCATCGTCTGGACTTCATCTTCATCAGGGACTGTTRGCGCTGAGCTTCTTCTTCATCATCTGGGTGGCGATTGGCTCTGGGAGCCTGTTTCACTTTGGCGCAGGCCACTGAGTTGGATGTCAGGGTGGCGCTGGGTGTTACCTGGGGTTTCGGTGCTATTTTTAGCTGTTCAGGGTGGTGGGGTTGAGGCGCTACCCCTCTGAGGGTAGCGCAGCAGGGTTCTGAGGTCATTTCTGTTGAACGATGCTCTGAGTTTAATAAACAGTGGTAATACTGTGTTTGAGTTGTCATCTCTTCATTGATTTCTGGCTGCGATCACTCGGTTGTCTTCTATGAATGATTGTTGGGATTTCTGTGGAGAGAATTCACTGAATTGTGTGTTCTGTCACTTCGCTCCTCTGAGTCTTCCACTGCGTTTTCCTTTCTGGGCGGTGTGACCCTCCACTACCTCTCCTCTTCCTTCTGTGCATGTATGGGCGTGTACGGGAGTTCCTGTGAGTGAGTGTTGATAAAATTTCAACAGACAATCATGTTCATAACAAGGAAGTTAGACAGAATTAATGTAGTGTGTATTGACTACTATTGAGTGTGAAGTTGTGAGCAATGCACAAATTGCATGTGTACAGGGAACCCAATGCCTGGATGCGCATGTCTTGCAGGTTGATATACAGGTAGAACCATCACGTTCGCTAGTTACTTTGTCACATCGAACTTTTAGTGATCACTTGCATGCGGAGGCTGACAGCACTTTGCACATGGCACCAGCAATTCGCAGTTAGTAGTGTTATAAATAGGCTCCCCATCTCCTCCTCTATCTCTTATCTGATGGAAAGCAATAAAACAGGTTGGCACTCCAGGTAAGGGGTGAGAGTCGGAACCAGGCTTTTGAAGTAGAAGGCAAGCCAAGTGGGCAATGTGCTGGAGTACATCGTTTTCTCCTCTTCTGGCCCCATTGTTTCCCCTGCTTCTTCTTTTGGAGATCTGGCCTCCCTCTCCTACACAATCCAGCCTCCCTGCTTATATAAAACTCGGTGCTTCGGCTCCCGTTGTTGTGGCTCTCCCTTCTGTGCAGCAGATGGGCAGCTTGCCCTCCTGTGAGCTAGCATTTCTGCAGATCTCCCTTCTGTGAGCTGGTGGGTGCGCGGCTCTCCATCCTGTGAGTTGGTGCAGGCCTCTGAGGCACACTTTTGGTCAAGCAACATAAGACCAGTATTATTTTATGCAGCCAGTGTTGTTTGACCGTGCAAGTGTCCAATCCCTCCCATCACAAACGAGTGACAGCCATCTTGTGTAGTGCAGTGCCATGGGGGAATTGATGGTAGACACATGCACAGATGCGATGGCTGAATGGCAGGTTCAAGGACACGAAAAAGGAAACAGACACAGGATACAATGATACATGCAGTCTCATTCCAGAGGAAGAGCCAGAGAAGGAGATCGAGAGGGAGACAACGTAGACACACAAAGCCATGGAATCGTAGTACGAGCAAAAACAGGCACTTGAATATTACAATGAAGTACAGAGTTGTGCCATGCTGGCAATACGATCGTTTCATCCGCCTGCCAGTTGCGGAATCATCAGGGGACAAAGAAGAAGCGTGTACCAAGATCATGAAGCCTCATCCTTAAGTACTCGTACCTTCACTACTACTATCCTTCCACGAAGTTTCCACCAGACAGTTTGTCACATACAGAACCCATGTATCAACACAGGAATGCTCGATCCAATGTGCAACACAGGGAGGAGACCCTCAATTACCATTCGCCAAGTTACTTTGTTGTGCTGTGGTCAGGGTACTGTGAATCCTGAGCTTACTAGTTTCTGCCTGCTCCTATGCCTCAAACACAGTCTCAGGCTGCCAGGGTGAGTTGGTTGAAGCAGCAAGAATGTATGTTTTGTATAGTCATTGGGTTATATCTGTGTATGGGGGTAGAAGGGCGGGCTATTCGGCCAGTAGTCCCGACAAGCTAGTGGTGAGTGACTGAAGCTTGAATAAAGATGAGAAAGAAGAGAGTGCAGTAACTCAGCTCGAATCATGCAATAGTAGTGAGCCATAGGTCGTCATTCCAGACTAAGGGCTGAATTGGGGGCCAACAGCCACACCCGAGTCAAGGAAATAGCCTGAAACAAGGCCTGCTGCTGTGGGTACCCGAAGCACGGCCTAAAACTGGGCTTCAGAGGCCCTACGTGCGACAATTGACTGTGGAAAGTCAAAGGTCAACAGCAGCTCGGAAATTCAGGCTCATGGACCCACCCCAGGCCACTTATCAGACACACACACTTGGCTGTCCGCAGGTATCTGTCGAGAATCCAGTCCAAGTGGGAATCTGCAACTGTACGAGGTCCAGGCCATTGACTGCAGGTCAATCTGGGCCATCGTATCCGATAGACCAGAGGCTGGTCAACCGGAGTCAACACTATATGTTGACCCAGTCCCTGCCAACCGATATTCAGTCTTGCACTTGCTGCTTGATGCTGGCTTGATGCTGGCTCGATGCTGACTGTACGCTGGCTGGATGCTGGCTGGACGCTGGCTTGATATTGGACGCCGATGCGAGACTGCTACCGCATGTGCTGGCGCCATTCTCTGTCTTCAGCGCCAGCTCTATTCTTGATTATGCTGACGTGGCTCTTGCCACACTGTCTACTACATTGATGAGATATTGGAGCGGAGGAGGAGGATCAGGGCTGTGAGATTGGTTGATCGAAGGGGAAGCTTACCTGTCTGTGTACGTGTCGACATTTCGCGCTGCTGTTCATCTTCAGGAGGTGTCTGCGCTGACAAGTGCCATGATGGTACCTGCTCTTTGTCAGATTGCGTCAGAGGAGACTGTCTGCTGATGTGGTGAAGGGAGATGCCCAAAGAGGAAGAGGGTTGTTGAGGGAGATCTATCGGCTATGCTGATGATTACTTTCTCGTCCACCTTCCAAGTCTCATCTCCCTCCTACCATCCTCTTCTCTGGTGACCAGACAGTGGGCTACTTGATGATGTGTACGACTATTTCGGAGACATTGAGACTGCGCTGAGACATACTGTATCTTGACCTTGACAAGCTTCTCTACTGACTGTGTTCATTGCAAGAGGGGGGACCCTATGTTTCAGTCTGGTGCTTAGTCTTTGGTCGAACTTGGCCCTAAGGGCTGAACAGATTCATGTAGTGTGGTGGAAAGTCAGTAAGTCATAACTCATCTCCTTGTTTGTGGGAGCCTTCCTTACCACTTGTTTCTCACCTTGAGGTTGTGGCAGAATGTATGCTTGTCCTCTTCAGAATTTGGACTCATCGAAATCTGGCACGGAGTACCAGTGCTGGGGCAGTGGTTGGTGTCCACCCCCAACTGGGGTTTAGACGGTATGATCGGTTAGGGATCTTTGCATACTGTCGAGGGTTCAGCCTTATGACGAAATTGTGAAAATCCGATGAAAAAGTATCACAACCCCCTGCTTCTTGTCCTCCATTTTCTGCCTACGATTCATCGGGCAGTTCTCTCAGGCAATCAGATGAAGAATTTCATGACTCTGTGTTTCTTGTCCTTTATTCATTTTCTACCTACTGTTCACAAGGTTTTCTCTGTGACATTGCGCTGTTACGGGAGGTGGGTGTGTGGGCACCTCGGACTGAACCAAACCAGAACAAGCGTGGTGCGCCTTGCACCTGAGAGGCACATTACGAAGGAAAAGCTGAAAGAAGAATGGAAAGAAGATTAGAAAGTTTGGGGCGTTGGTTCTGGTCGGCTGTTTACTGGGGTGGACCCTTCAGCCACCCATGGACTGCAGCACGGTTGGTGGAGGAGTCTACACATGAGGAGGCTTGTGAGGGAGATCTTGCTGGCGATGGAGGCACCGGCACAGCTCAAGTGCCAGGTACGACGGCAGCGTCAGAGGTTGATCCTATGCCTGGAATCATTGAGGTCTTGGAGGTCAGCGCACAGGCCATTGACCCCATGCGGGCCGACTGGAGGGGCAAGATCTCTCCATGTACCTAAGCCCAGTTCACTAGTCTGGAGTGGGCACCAGAGTATCCAGAGTCTTCTCAGTCCACAGGCTGCGGTGTAGGTTCTGCGGACAGCCAGTTGTGCTGTTGCCATACGAGCCGTGGGCCAGACGGCTGCATCTGATGGTGGACGACATTCGGCAGTGATGGCAGGCATTGTAGGAGGAGGAGGGTGTGCGACAGAGTCTCCTGCGACTACAGGCCGATGCTCGCATTGACTTGTGGCTTCATGGTCAGACACGCGCAAGGTGTTACAAAAGAACGTGGATAGACAGCCTGGTGCACGTGGTGGACCGAGCAGGGCAACCCCAGAGATGGTGACGGCTGCCACTTTTGCACGTTCAGCCATGGACACGGGTACAGATCCTCCGCTAGCCATGGTGGGACTTACATTGGGGAAGGATGTGTGGAGGATTGCTGCTAGGACCCCAGCGGGAGACAGGCATGCCGCAGAGGAGGAGGGCGTGGATAGTATGATGATGGCAGGCTGGGCATGCTGTAGGGTGGAAATGGATATTGTTGTCTATCCCGAGGTCAGAGCTGGTGGAGGGAGAATTATAGATAGGACCATGGCAGTTCCTCTCTGCCTTTGCGCCGGAGTGATGTGAGCCTACCGTCTTCATCCGTAACAACATACTTTTATAATAGCTGTATACAGGGCAACTTTGAGTCCACATACAGCAATAATGACAGTGTGTTGTATTCGGGTGAAGACGGCAGGCATACATGGAAGGGGGGTCCAGGTCGACCCAGAGGCTCGTCTGCCATCTGTAGGGTTTGCATTATGCATTTTTCCATTGTTGCACTAGGAGGCATAGGGGCCGGGAGAGTAGGATGCGGGTAGGTTTACATTCTATTTTGGGTGGGCATGGCACTTTAGTTAGATGCTATATGTTCTTGTGTGGGTTGCAGGAGCGAAGCTATATGAAAAACAGTTGCTTGCTTTTTACTTTGGTTATTGGCAGTAACACTGTTGTCATGAACAGGCTCTTGTCGATTATCCATTTCTGTTCGGGGCATTGTTTCAAATTGGTTTGCCATTTTGGGCTTGGGAGTTATGAAGAGGGTGCCTTCAGAGTAGTCATGCCGATGGTAGTTGCCCCTCAATTGGTAGGCGGACTACAAGCCAATCGATCCACCCTTTGGCACATACTTGTCGGCTGTTGGTAGGCAACCTGCAACAAGAAAAAGTAAAGGCACCCTGGAATAGGTCCCCCCTGCCCCTCCCCACCCCTCTATACCCCGCCAAACACCACCACAACCCCCACCCCCGACACCTCGACACCCCCTAACAACCCCGTAGTGCCAACAGCAGCCCCAATAGCCCCCCCACATCCCACCCATAATCCCCCTCTACTCCCCTCCCCCCTCCAGTGGATTTGGGCTGTACTCAGCAAGTGCAGTACAGCCACTCACTCAGATTAGAAAAAAAAATTAAATCGGTGGATGGCCTGCTTGTACCCAGTCCGCAGCCAGCCTAATAGGCATACCGGTAGGCTGCACTGCTGCAGAACGGTTGGCTGTCGGCTGCAAAATTACCCTGGTCCCCTCTCCAAAACCCTGTTGTGTGCTTGGTATTTCTGCTCTTTTTGTTTGTTAAATCACCAGTATGTTTCCCAGCCAAAGAATAAAATATGCAGCTTGCATGCAACTGCAACTTTCGGGGCTTGGCCTCCGGAGCAAATGGCTGGCAGCACCAGCCAAATGGAGGCCCACACTGGTTCATTTTTTTTCTGTGTGCAGGCTGTTTCCAGCCCCAGAGAAAAGTGCCTTGGAAGTACTGGTGGTTTTAATGTGTGTACTTCATATTTGCTTCAACTGGTGCGCACACAGAGAGAGAGAGAGACAAAGAGAGTGATCCTTGAAATGTCTGTCGCGATGGGTCTGTTATGCTTCAACATGTATTTTTCCCCGTCACACCTTCTTCAAGCAAGCCTCTGAAAGGGGAAAATTCATTTGACAGACTTTGCGTGGACTGCCATAATACTATGTATAGTAACATTGTTTACACAATAATACAATATATAAACAGATAAAGTTTAGACTGTGTATTTCTGCCTTACCAGCTATGCCAAGTCCATACTTAATCTGTCGTTACTCAAAATAGCGTCTTGTATTTTATGCATTCTCTGTACTCCAAACATTTGTCTATACAGTTCCTATAAAATGAATTCTATACTCTACATAATCTATAGTCTACATTTAACCTACACCTACTCTAGGCAGTGTATGCGTGGTCTTTGAGTACTTCATTCATAGTCTATACTCTATAGTGTATACTTTAGCCGCTCTGCAAGCTCTGGTTGCTGGAGGTAGTGTGATGTCATAGGCATGGTGTATGTGCAACATATTTTGACTGGTCCATATCATTGCCCATAGGCTAAAGCATGCTGCATGCAGGTCATGTTTTACAACTTGCTTAATGATCGCTAATGTTTTTTAAACTTTTTTCCTCCGCCACCCCCCCTACTGAGTGGATGTGAGGTCCACCCGACTTGTCAACAATAACTTCTCTTGCTCTCCGTGCATGTAGTGATTGAGGGGATATTGATGAATCTGTGTGATAGAGGTCTGCTATCAAACCTTGCTGTTCACACCAATTGTAGACAATAACCTTTCTTGCTTTCAGGTTCGGTGCATGCAGTGATTGAGGGGAGGTTTTCACTTGGGTATGGATAATGAATCTGTGTAATAGAGGTCTGCTATCAGGTTTGGGAAATGGCGTCCACAATGCAGAAGGAGGTTTTGATCTTATTTGAATTATTATTATTATTTGAATTTATTTCCACTTTCCCCTGCCAAAAGAAAATTTCCTTGACACTTTCCAGGTATGACTGTACCTTCCTCGTGCATGTTCTCGTTTGTGGTGTTTCTCCACTTGATAATCTAGATGTGCTTCCATTTCTCTGTATACTCCCAAGCTTTCTGTATACTCCCAAACTTTCTGGTGCATGATATTGGAACCCTTGTTTTCAAAGTGAGAAGATATTGGTGGGCTGTTTGGTTGTTGATGCATTCCCCGTGGTGTCATCATCTCACTTGTTTCCTGATCATCTCAACCCTCCAATTCTCCCTCCTCGATGTTCTGTGTTGGCTTGAGTAAGGCATTGATGGCTGGATTCGCTCCAAATATTGTTGGTTGTTAGCCCATTCACTGCAGCCAAGCATATGGAAAGTGCAGGAATGATGGCAAAAGAAGCACGACGATGGGAAGTTGCCACTGCGTCCTACAAGCGAGCATGTGAACTGTACCTTGAGGCGGGGCGTCCTCAGCCTGGCGCTGACGCTCTCTTTAAAGGTGCCAGGTAACGTGGTTTTGATCTGTTACATCTATCGTCCCTTTGCTATGCTTGACATAGGACTCTGTTTTGCTCCCACTGTCCAAGGTTACGACATTATAACTGTGACAATCAACGCTGGGGTACATGAACATGTGTGTTTGCTCTTTTTCTTCTTTGGTAATTTCCAAGTAACAGTGACCCAGAAAATATCGAGAACTTACTTGAACTCGCCCTGTCTTGTACTTTGTGGCTGTAGGCAAGCCTTAGTATTCGTATGCGCTTGTTGGGCAGGCCTGCACTATGGGAGAATCCATCATGGCAAACCCGTGATACCATCAGACACCCGGAGGTTCAATCAAGAGATGTAGATGGATCTGGACTAAATTGAAAATATAATTTAAATATTTCAATAATTGTATTTTTCGAAATGAGGAGCAGGTTTCCATCAGGGAGTCAGGTGGAGGGGGTCATTGTTATCAGCACTAGCCAATAATTACTTGTTCAGTACTTGTCATGCACCTGTGTGGTGTGCCGTGCAGTGGGACTTGGACTTGCCAGAATGCAGCTGTGAGTCCAACAAGTTGATAGGTGTTGTGCATTGTCCATCATGTTGTGTGGGGTGCACAAAGAAAAAGAGGTGCACTGTACGTAACGACTCAGGAAGCACCCCACCACAGAGGGGTAGTCTCCTACCTACATCCACACAGTTGAGATTGTGGCCGAGATGTTGAAAGCTCATATGTCCCCACAAGCGCTACATTCAATTTCATAAGAGCCATACAGTGCAACGGTCTCTCTCAAGTGAAAAGGAACAAACATGCCCCTTGTTCCACCTAACTAGCACAAGGGAGCAAACTGTAGGTCTGCCACACCCCAACAGCATGCAATCAAGTGGAAGCCATAGAAACATATGAGGGGAAAAAAAGGGTGCCTGAGAAATTATGGGGTACCAATCTGACTGACAAAACAAATACGGGCCCCAGTGTCATTGGTTCAGGACTAGGTTGGCGAGCTTCAGCCAACCTAGTGTCGAGTCGAACTACCGAGGCCAAAAGTTGCAGTATAGGGCCAAGAAAAATATAGATGGCAGGCCTTGTGGCGAATACAGTGCTAAGGCCCCCATATATGGGCGACCTACTATGTAATCCCGGCCTCAACGCCCAACCTGCCCTAACCCAACTGGGAACTGCCTGGATGGCAGATCCTGTAGCCGTGGAGAAGGAATGAGGAGGAAGAAGGTGGATATGGAGATAGAGCCGAAGAGGGGGAGAGACAACACCACCAAGAACTTAAACCACACGTATTCCAAAACTGCACAACGAAGAATGAATGGGAAAACAGACTACAGGCTGGGGTATACTCGGGACGGATTGACTAGACTGACTAGACTGGTACCGACGGCAGTACAGGACTGAATGAAAAACGGCCTGTGAGATCAGGCTGACGGTCTGGTCCCACAGGCCAAACCAATTGAAACACCAAATAGGCCTGACTATAAGCTGGAGGAAATAGAGTTCCAATGTACAATCCTCAGACCTGTAGTGGATCACGAGAGCCATAAACACGCTATCTGCAAAAAAAACAGCGGAACTCTACAAACAAAGGCCAAGGAATCTAGGATGCGGAGCAAGCTCTATGCGGAGTCCGTGTGAAGAGCAAATGTTTGATATACAAATCCCAACTATCAGCTAGCAAATGAAATGAAAGACAATACAATGCTGAAGTCTTGGAGGTAAACTGCCTCAGTGTTGAAAAAGGCAAACAACAATATATCACAAGATGAAGTTGTGACGCTGAACCACTGGGAGTGGGACGGTCTCAGAGTGAATGCCACCGGAGGACAGTCGCACACAAAAGTGGGATAGGTCATCAGGCTCATGGTGGGAGAAGGGGGGGGAGACGAAACAAAACCAATGGCCCTAACAGATAAACCATTGAGGCGGGTAATGCTCGACACAAGGGTGACATTATGCAGGGTCTACGTGGAAGGGGAGCCTGGGATAGGATGATATGCCTAACTAAACGCATGGCCGACACTTCGGGGAAGGATGCAGGGGGTGAGGGGATAATGTACACAACTCACTGACTGGGAGGGAGCTAAAATTGCGGAGAAGGGGAGCGAGGATAATGCTACAGACCCAATGCCTACACGCTACAAAGGGAGAGCCCAACTCGGGAGAACAAGCTAGGGGATGCAGGAAAAAACATCATGTGATACGCAAGGGAATGTACAAGGTAGGATGATGGCATGAAGTAGTCATGAGTTATGATCCTCACCAATTTTGAAGTACGAACTCATGAGCTAAGTGGACCTCCGCTGCTGCTGCTGCCTCTCCCTAAGCTGGCGGCCACCCTCTGGTCCTAACGCTAAGTGGACCAATGGGTGTCTTGATGAATGCAGGATCCGATCGTCCGGGTCAAGGTCCTCCCTGTTGCTCATAAGCTACAGAACTGTGCATTGTCTGCACTAGGACACACTCAATTGGCTACCGCAGCATAGTGCTAAGACTGATTTAAAATAAAAATAATTAATCGGTGGCAATGTCAGAGTATATACAATTGGGTCCAACAGGTAAGTCCAGATTCCTACAAACGAAATTCTCTTACTTGACTAGTCCGCAAACAGAAAGCAAATGAGCAGAAACAGAAAGTTCTACTTATGTTGTCTGTCAGATGTTAATGGTTGTACATCTAACTACTCAAAAATAAAAATAGAATCGTTTGGATGGCTGTTGGCAGAGTGGAATTGTTTCCCGAACTTATCACCTGAAATCTACCCCTCCCTCAGTTCTTCTTGAATGTTGCTTGATGTCAGCGTTCCTGGGCAATCCAGATAGAGTGCGTGTCTAAAGGTGAGCACACGACCCACCGTTGTGCCCCGAGTCAATGATGAGTTGGCCAGCCCAACACCATGTTTACCTGCGGTGAGCCTTACACCGACCGATTGGCTGATCAAGAGGCAGTTTAAGGACGGCCCCCGAAGTCCTCAGGAATTATTGAATGTCGCGAACATGACGACGATCACAGCCAATGGAAGGCACCACACCGGTATTTATTTATAGACGTCCGGTACTCGTCTCCCCTGTAGGGCTGGCCTGCCCCTCATGATTTATCTACAGCGCAGCAGGCGGACAAAGGACAAAGCAGCAAAGCATGCGTGCTCTACTCCTGGTGGGTTGGCATGGTGACCGTTGTCGAGCGCATCGGCCCCCGCACAAGCGAGGGCCCTCCCGCCCGCGTCATGCAGGAGAAACTTAGGCTTTCAACCTTTCAGAGACAAGTCGGGGACGACACAGTAACCTGTGTCGATCCTTCGCCGCTCCGGCCGAGTGCGCCAGCTGTACATCCCGCGGTCCCCTACGACAGGATAGGTTCTCGCGGGGCACAACTTACCTTCCCTAAGGGGCTGTCACCACCCTTAGGGGCGTATCCCCGCCGAGCTACCGACCCACGTGCGAAAGCTTTTATAATGCAATTGCAGAGGTAGGCCGGCCGAGGGCGTTTGCTCGTTCGCTGTAGCATAGGTACGCATGGTTAAACGCCAAAGTGGACCCGAACGTCGTCTGTCCTTGGGGCACTGATCTCCCAGGAATCGGACCAACGTTGGTCGACTAGGACGTGATATTCCAAGCGTAAGGAAAACTGCGAGCGATCCTAGTCCCTTCTTCCAAAGACAATCGAAAGTTAAACATCAAAAGAAGACTCAGGTCAACGTAAATTGACATATATTCTGAAATCAACTTATATATAATACAGTCATGCGTACCATTCGTCCCGATCAATTTAACAAGGGTTGATTTGACTTTCATCGCGGACATCACTTATTAACAAAAGGACAAAAGCGTGACTTATACACGACGCGAAGAACAAGTGACGTCCGACTAAAGTATCTACACTCTACTTGCCAGACGGTTGGACTGTCACGACATTCTCGACTTGATGAGATGCGTTGCCAAGTTCTTTCATTCCGCCCCATACTGACTGCTAGCAAGGAATGTGAGCGCTCCAACTCTCAAGTAGAGTTGGAGTGCCATTGTTTTAATGGTGACTCCACTACTTCTCTAACTTTGGTGCGAATGTCATCAACAAGTAATTCGGCTACCACCTATACAAGTCAACGACCAACCCGAACAATCGGACGCTCGATGCCCCATTAAGGTCAAGGATCCATTTTTAAATTTTGTTGGTCGCTTCGTCTTCCTGGGCAATAATTACTCTTCCTGTTCCGCGAGTGATGAAATACCAGCCTGCGATATAAAGGTATTCAAGGCAATGCTCCAGTCACGCCTTTTTATCAATTAGTCTGATTGCCCTAGGCTTGCATTTCTTACGGCGCAAACCTGTCCGCTAAGGCAGTGCCTAGTTGCATTCCGTCCATAGCTAGTGAACACACGAACTGGGCTTCTTATGGCGCCAGTTTCCCATTCGTCTGTGGCTCCTAAGACGGCCACTAGAAGGGTAAACTATAGCGGTTCTTCTTAATGTGAGCCGCCAAGAACTTAACGCCTTTCGTGAATAACACACGTTCATCCCCTTAGGAGGTGGTCTGGGATACCCCTCGTCCTCGCCCGAGCGAACCTCGGATCTCAGAAGTCGGGCTGGCTCCACCACGATAGCATGGTATCCCCCCGCCTAAGCGGTCCACTCCGAGTCGCTAACAGGGTCGGCCMCTAAGGCAACGAACCCCCGCCTCGGATGCCTCCTAGGGAAAGGAAGTGCACTTACCACAGAAGACGGTCAACCCTTTATCGCCTAACGTCAAGGGCGAACCTAGACGAAGAAGGAGATCGCATAGAAGAAAAACATTCAGATGGACGGGCATAGACAAAGAGGGTCATTCGGGAAAAATCTATGTCCAATTCACTTCTTCCCCTTTGTGTGATCGCTTCGTTTCTCGTCGTTTGCCTGTCTTCCCATCCTTTCAACATGCATGCAAGCAAAAAATAGAGGACAACCACCCTTCCATTCACTTTCGTTGACATGATTACATCTTCATTTTTCAAGCATCCTTCTACCTACTTGCA